CTCAAAATAAATTTCTCCTCAAAATGCAACACTTGCACCTGCAAATTGTTTTTACGTGCGCTCAGAATAGTGGCACAAAAATAACGCCATAGTGGGAGGCTTATTTTTAAAAAATCCTGGCATGTGAGTAATGGCATGCTAGGAGAGAGGCAAAGAAATAGATTAATTAATACTGATCTTTTTTTTAATGGGCTGCATTTTCTGTTCTTTTTCAGTCCTAACAATAAAAACAACAAAAAGACCTCAATTATTTACTGTTACATTATGGGTAAATTAAATAATTTATTTCATCTGTTAATATTGTGGTAAACTCATTCCATGCTAAAGGTAATATACAATCCTTTTGGCGAATGCTGCATGTTGACCTAAGGATATAATTTTACATATGCATACAAAGATGTACATTTTAATGTACTTCCTCCATTTTACAGTTGGGTTTTGTTTTGTTATGGACAGAAAATCGGCTGTGACGGCATCATTGGCTCATCTGCTAAAGAGGACCGCTGTGGTGTTTGTAATGGAGATGGACGGTCCTGTAAAATAGTGACAGGGGACTTCAACCACACTAGGGGAATGGGTGAGTGTCGAGCTAGTATGCTGCTCAGATGTTTTTTTGTAGTTCTTTTTGCGTTTTGTAACAAGTACCCAGTCTTTGCCATTGACTCCTGATTCGATGTGTTTTGATGGATTGTTTAAATTGATTCTTCCAAAAGCAATCCTAAATAAATATTTCAGGTGAAACCAACATATTCTAATGTTTTCTGTTTATTAAAATTTTACAATGGTATATTATAACATGATGGATGTTTCTGTCTTTGCATTTGCTTCTTTTCCAACACAACGAGATGCAATTTAATTTTAGCTCACCAGTTACTGTAATAGTTGAGAGATTATTAGATGTTTATTATTCCTAGAATCGATTCAATTCCGATTCACAAGGTCCTGAATTGATTCGATCCGATTCGATTCTATTTGAATCGGGTAAATTTTGCCTCAGACAGTCAGAAATATTATAATTCTGATCACTTATCA